CATAGATGCAGGCTACGGCGAAGTGTGGATCAGGGGCGCGAGGGTGGAAGTGCGAGTATTGGGACGGGGCCTCCCTCCCCTTCTGTGTTTGTCTTGTCTCCACCTTCCTGGGCGTGGCTACACACCTGGCTCCACTTGCCAGTCATCTCCAGCTGCATAAGAAGCCTCGTTCCCAGCAAGTCGAGGCCAGTTCGTTGTCGCTTCTTGTTAGTGCAACATTTATGGTCTCTGCTCTACTGATTTGGGATTGTTTTTTGTACTTCCCACGCTTCCTGTGCGTTGATCCAGTTTGTCTGTTCGCCGCCTCTGCCCTCTGCCTCTGCCTGCCTGCCTGCCCGCCTGCCTCTGCCCGCCTGCCACTGCCCGCCTGCCCACTGCCCGCCTGCCTCTGCCCGCCTGCCACTGCCCGCCTGCCACTGCCCGCCTGCCTCTGCCGCCCTGCCTCTGCCCGCCTGCCACTGCCCGCCTGCCCTGCCCGGCTGTCTCTGCCCGCCTGCCTCTGCCTGGCTGCCTCTGCCCGCCTGCCACTGCCCGCCTGCCTCTGCCCGGCTGTCTCTGCCCGCCTGCCACTGCCCGCCTGCCACTCTGCCTCTGCCCGCCTGCCACTGCGCCACCGCCTGCCTCTGCCCGCCGCCACTGCCCGCCTGCACTGCCCGCCTGCCACTGCCCGCCTGCCACTGCCCGCCTGCCTCTGCCCGCCTGCCTCTGCCCGCCTGCCACTGCCACTGCCCGCCTGCCACTGCCCGCCTGCCACTGCCCGCCTGCCACTGCCCGCCTGCCACTGCCCGCCTGCCACTGCCCGCCTGCCACTGCCCGCCTGCCACTGCCCGCCTGCACTGCCGCATGTGTGTGTGTATATAACTGTGTGTGTGTCTGTGTGTGTATGTGTGTGCGTGTACAACTGTGTGTATCTGTGTGTGTGTATATATATGTGTGTGTGTGCATGTGTGTGTGTGTGTGTATATATATGTACGTGTATGTATATGTGTGTGTATAACTGTGTGTGTGTGTTTGTGTGTGTGTATATCTGTGTGCGTATGTATATGTGTGTGTGTATAAATACGTGTGTGTGTATAACTGTGTGCATCTATGTGTGTGTGTATATATATATATATATATATATATATATATATATATATATATATAATATATATATATATATATATGTATATATATATGTGTGTGTATATGTATATATGTGTGCGCATGTGTATATATTAGGGCTGTCAAACGATTACATTTTTTGATCGAGTTAATTACAGCTTAAAAATTAATTAATCGCATTTAAAACTATCGACAAAATAATGCCATATTTTTGTGTAAATGGTTGTTTGAATGGAAAGATAAAGGACAGTATAGTGTACATATGAACTGTATTTGTTTGTTATAACAATAAATCCACATAAAATGGCATTAACATTTTTAACATTCTGTCTTTCTGTTTAGACTCAGATAAAAACTATTATTTGTTACAGATGAGGGACATTTCAAAACAGTCTGAGGCAGAATGTAATAAAATCTGTTTGATTTGCTCACACCATTACGTTTGAGTCAACCAACATGAACTGATAGTGGAAGGGAAAATTAGGTACCCCAGCTTTAATTTAGCAAGTGCGCTTCGGGAGAAGACACGGAGGAGACTGAGGCTCCGTTGTCCAGTTTTTGCGCTGTATTTTTTGTGTGCACCGGTTACGCAAAGACATGCACATCTGTGCGTGGTTTATGATCACGTTACGGCGCCGTTCACCGTGATCACAGCCGCTGGAGGAACTGCTGTCCTGAGCGCCCACAGCTCAGCTCGCAGAGTTCATACAGGAAACAACAGCATGTGTCCCACGGACATGGTCACGCGTGTATTATTTTAAAACGTAGATTCCCAGAGACCTGCTCTGTCACCAACACACGCACGTGTCCGCGGCATTCTGAGTGTTATTATGGGATGCGTGGGCATGCGTTAATTTTTTTAACGCGATTAATGAAAAAAATGTATTAACGTGCGTTAACGCGATAATTTTGACAGCCCCATGTGTATATATATATATATATAAAATTGTCCACTCACCTTTGGCCCTCCGTGGGCGGTTATCCCCCTCTAAGCTCGGGTCCTCTACCAGAGGCCAGTATCTTTGCTGTTCCTAGCACTGCACATTTCTGGACCAAGATGTCCGAGGTTGCTCTTCTAGCTTCGGGGTCACTGCCCCGAGTGCACCGATCACCACGGGCACTACTGTCACCTTTACCCTCCAGGCCCTCTCCAGCTCCTCTCTGAGACCTTGGTATTTCTAAAGCTTTTCATGTTCTTTTTTCCGGATGTTACCATCACTTGGAATTGCCACGTCCACCACCACGGCTGTCCTCTGCCCTTTGTCTACCACCACGATGTCAGGTTGGTTCGCCATTACCATTCGGTCGGTCTGTATCTGGAAGTCCCACAGGATCTTTGCACACTCATTCTCCACCACCTTTGGAGGAGTTTCCCACTTAGACCTTGGGGTTTCCAGCCCATACTCTGCACAGATGTTTCTGTACACTATGCCAGCCACTTGGTTATGGCGTTCCATGTAGGCCTTCCCTGCCAGCATCTTGCACCCTGCAGTTATGTGTTGGATCGTCTCAGGTGCCTTTTTGCACAACCGACACCTTGGGTCTTGTCTGGTGTGGTATATCTGGGCCTCTATCGCTCTGGTGCTCAGTGCCTGTTCCTGTGCAGCCATGATGAGTGCCTCTGTGCTGTCCTGTAGGCCAGCCCTTTCTAGCCATTGGTAGGACTTCTTGAGATCAGCCACTTCTGTTATGCTCCGGTGGTACATGCCGTGGGGGCTTGTTCTCCCATGATGGGCTCTCCTCCAGCACCTCCTCATCTCGCCACTGCCTGAGACATTCACTGAGTACGTCATCCGTTTTGGCCTTCTCCATGATGTAGTTATGGAGTTTGGATGTTTCGTCCTGGACAGTGGCTCTCACACTCACTAGTCTTTGGCCTCCTTCTTTACGGCTTACGTACAGTCTCAGGGTGCTGGATTTGGAATGGAACCCGCCATGCATGGTAAGGAGCTTTCGAGTTTTAACATCCGTGGTCTGAATCTCTTCCTTTGGCCACCTGATTATTCCGGCAGGGTATCTGATCACTGGCAGGGCGTAGCTGTTAATTGCCCGGGCCTTGTTCTTGCCATTGAGCCGGCTTCTTAGGACCTGCCTTACTCGCTGGAGGTATTTGGCAGTTGCCGCTTTCCTCGTCACCTGTTCGAGGTTGCCATTTGCCTGTGGTATACCGAGATACTTGTAACTGTCCTCAACGTCTGCTATTGTTCCCTCTGGGAGTGAGATCCCTTCTGTGTGGACTGCCTTGCCTCTCCGAGTCACCATCCTGCTACATTTCTCGAGTCCGAATGACATCCTGATGTCATGGCTGTAGATCCTGGTTGTTTGGATCAGAGAGTCGATGTCTCTCTCGCTCTTGGCGTACAGCTTGATGTCATCCATGTAGAGGAGGTGACTGATCTTTGCTCCGTTCCTGAGGCGGTATCCATAGCCAGTCTGGTCAATTACTTGGCTTAGAGCAGGCATGTCAAAGTAAAATACATCAGAGGGCCAAAAAAAAAGGTTTGCTACGAGCCGAGGGCCGGACTGGTTCAATGTTTCTCAACATCCAGAGGCAGTGCCGGTGACACCTGTTGGCTCGATAAAATAGGCTCTAAAGCCAATCCTCATACTGTACATATTAGATGTAATAGACATCTGAACATGAAAAGCTCAAACTTTGTGAAATGTAAAAGAGCAGTGTGGACCTCTTTTCGGGGCGTTTTTTGATTAAATCTGCAGAATGGATTATACTTTGGGAAATACAAGTGGATGTTCTTCTTCAGTGAACAGTTACGGAGAGAAAGAGACTAAGCAAGGATGGGGAAAGTCTAATTTGTTGGAGCAGCAGAAGACGAAAGGTAAAAAACGAATACAGACGTGATTTATTTTGTGTTCATATTATGCGTTATATCTTTTTAGAGAGTCTGTCCATAGGACAACAATCAGTCGTGCACTGCACAAATCTGGCCTTTATGGAAGAGTGGCAAGAAGAAAGCCATTTCTCAAAGATATCCATAAAAAGTTTCATTTAAAGTTTGCCACAAGCCACCTGGGAGACACACCAAACATGTGAAAGAAGGTGCTCTGGTCAGATGAAACCAAAATCGAACTTTTTGGCCACAATGCAAAACGATATGTTTGGCGTAAAAGCAACACAGCTCATCACCCTGAACACACCATCCCCACCTCAGCTGTAGTTATCTGCAGTTCATCCAGAGCAATCATGGGCCTCTTGGCTGCATCTCTGATCAGTCTTCTCCTTGTTTGAGATGAAAGTTTCGAGGGACGGCCAGGTCTTGGTAGATTTGCAGCGGTCTGATACTCCTTCCATTTCAATATAACTGTTTGCACAGTGCTCCTTGAGATGTTTAAAGCTTGGGAAATCTTTTTGTATCCAAATCCGGCTTTAAACTTCTCCACAACAGTATCTCGGACCTGCCTGGTGTGTTCCTTTGACTTCATGGTTCTCTCTGTGCTTTAAACAGAACCCTGAGACTATCAAAGAGCAGGTGCATTTATACGGAGACTTGATTACACACAGGTGCATTCTATTTATCATCATCAGTCATTTAGGACAACATTGGATCATTCAAAGATCCTCACTGAACTTCTGGAGTGAGTTTGCTGCACTGAAAGTAAAGGGGCCGAATAATATTGCATGCCGCACTATTCAGTTTTTTATTTGTTAAAAAAGTTTAAATTATCCAATAAATTTCGTTCCACTTCACAATTGTGATTCATGAAAAAAAATTAAAATTTTATATCTTTATGTTTGAAGCCTGAAATGTGGCGAAATGTTGAAAGGTTCAAGGGGGCCGAATACTTTCGCAAGGCACTGTATATATATATATATATATATATATAAATATGTGTGTGTGTGTGTATAACTGTGTGTATCTGTGTGTGTTCTAGGGACC